TCTGCCTAATTGTATGGCCGTAAGCAAGTCAGTGAACGTATCTGGGTCCCCTCTGCTTTTGTAAAACAGGTATATTACGTCTTCACCTTGCCTTGGGGTATTGTGATAAGAATAAGATGAGATGATACAATTTTGCAAAATAATTTTATGGAGATATAAAAATCAGGTTGGATTGATCTGCATAGGAAAAGGAATGCTGAGAACATTCTTAAGCTCACGCAGCTCCCTTTGCTCTACATCTGAAATTGTTAAGTATCTTTGTGATTGAAAACATTTGGCGTCTCATTGCTGTAGAGTTACTATGAGCTGACAGTAAGTTTGTCATTTAGTTGAAGGTTTACAACTTGGTTTACAAATTGGTTTCTGGTTTACAAATTGGTTTACACATTGACTGGTGTGGATGAATTTACTAAGATTCAACCAACAACAAGTGACCTGATAAAATTCTATTTCAGATCTGATTCAGGAGCCTGCAAGTGATAGCAGCCCTCGAGGTCCTTAAGCAGCTTGGCCTGGAGGAGAACACATGAAAGAAAGGTTTGTTTCTGTTGAATGTAATTTGTGAAAGTGTTTAAAAATAAGTATCATTGTAATATACAAAATTCTGTTTTCTTTTTCCCTTTTCAGAACCCCTAGAGGCTTTGTTTTCTGTGAAAAAATATTTCTATACAGTTGTTCCAATGACAGAGTTACCTGCACCCTTGTCCTACTTCCAGAATGCACAGATGTCCGAGGACAACCACCTGAGCAATACTGTACGTAGCCAGGTACAGTGTCAGCCTCTGAAATTGCCCTTGCCAGACTGGATTCAGTTGTCATTCCCCTTTACTTCCAAGAAGTGTGAGGGGGCTGAGTAGGCTTTGTCTACTTTACCATATTTAGATATTTGTTGAACTTCAGCTGAGTGCTGGGGGACACAGTGTTATTTAAGATGTGTTGATGTGTATACCACATAGTTCTTATGTGGCTCAGATATCACCCCCTCAAGTGAAGCCTTCTCCAATTTCCCAAAGTGTGAGCACCTCATAGTTCACTTTGTTTATTCTTTTACCTCTTTTGCTCTTGCTTTTCTACAGGCTGAGTACATTTTATTTACTTTTTTTAGTACCTAACACAGTTCCTCACAGTGCTCAGTGACTGTTCATCAAGAAGATGATGGTACATTGCAAGGATATGGGTAGAGGTTTTAAGAGATCGAAGCAGTCAATGGTTCTCAACCTTCCTAATGCCGCGGCCCTTTAATGCAATTCCTGTGTCTGAACCCACAGGTTGAGAACCGCTGGATCAAAGGAAGGAATCAGGAAGGAGTGTAATCTGTACCATGGGACAAAGATAGCCTCAGCAGCTACACACAGACATCAAATGTGCCTACAGTTAGCTGATCCGTACATACTGAGTGTAGACTCCACTGATGTTCTGTGAGATAACTAGGGAATCAGTAGGGTTTTTAGAGGTAGAGCCAGAATGGAGGAGAACACAAGGCCAACTATAAGCTATGTAGGTGACAGTAGGGCGTGGAGGAGTTGGACCTTACCCTGTTAGGACCAGAGGGCAGAGCTAGGAACAGTGGTGAAACTTACCAGGAAGTAGGTTCTGTATCAGTAAAAAGAATTTTCTCACAGTTACAGAATTTCTGAAAGACCAGTGTGTACTTATCCCTAAAAACAGTCACACAGAGTGTGAAGACCAGATCTTCTGAGGATTAGTCTATGGAATAGGCAGTTGAACTAGAACACTCGATGGCTTGGAACTTCCCTTTACACACTGAAGATTTAGGATTCCTCACTTTTCCGATCGGTAGAATGAGGTGATTTACTAGATAATTTCAAAATTCTCTTCCTACTCAAAAGTTTTGATGTGACCAGAAGTTAGAGCAACCAACTGTTCTGGTTTGCCTAATATTAGAGATTCAGAAACACAGGACTGTTTTAAAATTGGCACAGTTCTAAGCAAATAGGATAGAGTTGGTTACCCTACTAGAAGAACAATGAAATTAAAATCATTTTGGATCTGACTGAGTCTTATTCAGTTAGTTGAATTTCTTGTGTAACTCAGATAACATCATAGTTATAATATTGTTATTATTCCAGTAGAAGGTAACATCTAAAGCTTTCTCTTGTTCAAAAGGTCAGTTATTGACCTTAGCTTTGTTTCTTCAATTCTTATCAGAAACAGTGATGGGCTATTAAATGTATATCACCTGTAAGATAGTTTTTCATTTTGTGAACTGCTAACCAACTCTATATATAATCTCATTCACAGGGAAAGGATTTGAAATTTGATGAGAGTAATCAGTTAAAACTAGTGTTTGTTGTTTAAACCTATATATATTTATTTCTCTATTTTTTATTGTGTAATGTTTCAAGTATATACAGAAAAGTATGGCAAATAATATACTAAGCATCTATGTACCTACTTATTTGCCGTGTATACTTTGTCGTTTTTGAAGATTATTTTCACTAAGCTTTTTCTGTTTTTATTATTTATTGATCCTATACTAAATGAAATCCTAAGAAAATTTGCATTTAGGCTTGGCGCCTGTGGCTCAGGTGGCTAAGGCACCAGCCACATAGACCTAAGGTGGCGGGTTCAAATCCAGCCAAGGCCCGCCAAAACAATAATGGCTGCAACCAAAAAATAGC